AATATATTAGAGGAGGTTGGTGCCTCAAGGACACTAGACATTATTGTTAATAATGTACTAGAGGAGGTTGGTGCCTCAAGGACACTAGACATTATTGTTAATAATGTACTAGAAACTTTTGGTGCCACAGAGACACAAGTTATTAATAATGAGGGTCTACTAGTGGAGGTTGGCACCCCAAAGACAAGAGTTTTTAGTTGTGAGAATACATTTTAAACTGAGGATGTATGAAGTGTGTTATGTTAGTGAGAATTCATATCAAGTGAAAGTTCGTATTATCATAAAATTAAAACTTAAAAACAATTATTGTAGTTTAATATTCTATAATAAAAAAAAACCGATATTCCAGATCCCATGCAGCCCTTAGATTTATACTTCCTCTATCATCTCTCGGTATCAATCAGCTAGAATTACGCACTACTGGCGAATACAGTAATTTCCAATGCGAAAAATGTTTCGCCTTATACCACAGATTTTGGGAAATTTTCCACAGCTGTATTTGGAATTTGGCTGTCAAGACCACAATTAGGCAAACAATAAGTACACTGAAGCTGCATCAGGAGATTTGATAAATATGGTGGAATGGGATTTGCTGCGATCCCAGTTTCTTTGGCCATCTTTCTCATAAAAATATTCATTAATTTCAAGATGTGACTGTTAGAATATTAATCTTTGGCTTGTGCGTCAACTTTTTGTGCGAATTTTTATTAACGATACCAAGAGACTTGCCTAATTTCATCGCAATGACTTTGGGTCAAAAGGTTCTCTTTCGGCTGGCACTTGCGACGACATACATTAACAATGTAAATCGTTCTCATAGCGAGTAACCCTTTGTAAAGAAGCGAGAAATATTTTCGTATTCGAGTGTTTCTTCAAAAGTGTAGTTGTTTGCATAATCTCGAAAACAGTAAAAAACTACGCTAAACTGCAAAAAAAGTTATAATAATAAATAAATTAAATTAAAAATACTTCATGTTCCATTTTATGTCAGATTTTTATGCTTCCATAATAAAAAAAACATTATTGAATATCCTGCTTTGCATTTCTCTGAGATCGACATCTCTTTGTATAAAAACAAACAGTCTTAGTTTTGATAACAAAAAAAATCTTGCCTAAAGTTGGAGAAGCAAAGGTCATGTCGTGGTCAATCATCTGACCCCAAGCTACCAGGATGTTGCATAACTGTTGGTCATGTTGGCTGACGTCATGGTGCATAACAAAACTGATTGCACGAGGTGTTGGCAGCTCAGATCCATCTACAGCACGTCTTGGAACGGAAATACCTGTAGTAGACGTAACTATCGTTAGTATTAAGATGGAATAATCGGTCAGTATACTGATCATTAATATAGGTATTCAAATTCGATGACGAGGAACCCACTTTGAGACTAATATTGCTTGGAGACGGCTTGAATGGGTATGAAGAAAAACTTTAATATAAGTTTAACATAACAGCAAATGTACAACGTTTCGACAACGTTCTGTTATCATCAGGCCCAAGTACAAGTACAAACAAGTTTTTCTTGGTTACCCATTCAAGCCGTCTCCAAGCATTATTAATATAGGTAGTTTACGTATAAAAAACAACAAGAATAAACAAACAAGAGCGCCACCTACCGTCACTGTAAGCTGGAGGGAGATACCTGAGCATGGCCGACCGTGCACTGCCCCAGGAAGGGTTTTCCAGGTTATTGCACATGCCTGTCAGAGTCCGGTAACGGCTTATCTCGCACTTCACTGGCTTTAGGAAGGTAGGACAGATCGCTTTCACTGCCGTTTTAGATGTATCAATTTGTGGCAGACCGTTAACAATGGCATCGTAAGACAAGCTATATCTGTGTAAGCAGAAGAATGAGGAAATGTCAAATAAGATTGTAACAATGTATGTATACATATAGGAAGGAATATAAAAACTAGCTATGACATCAATGATGCAAAACATATATATCTGTATGAGCATTGTTATTGTACGAGAGGTAATACTGTATTAACAAAGGAATTATATACACAATAGCAATAATAACGTCAGAGAGGTAATAATGTACTAACAAAGGAGCAATGACAACAATGATGAAAGACAAATAATATCTGTAGGAGCATTGTTATTGTACGAGAGGTAATACTGTATTAACAAAGGAATTATATACACAATAGCAATACATAATAGCAATAATAACGTAAGAGAGGTAATATTGTATTAACAAAGGAGCAATGACAACAATGATGAAAGACAAATAATATCTGTATGAGCATTGTTATTGTACGAGAGGTAATACTGTATTAACAAAAGAATTATGTACACAATAGCAATAATAACGTAAGAGAGGTAATATTGTATTAACAAAGGAACTATATACACAGTAGCAACAATAACGTAAGAAAGGTAATACTGTACGAACACGGATGTTGTGGAACCTAATAAACCATCATTTATTGTTTACGTATTCTCTGAGCATCACAAAATATCGTATTCTCTCCCATCCCCGTTAAACAGAAGTCTCCAAATTCACAACCCTAGTGAGCAATGTTTGCCAAGAAATAAAGTAGAAAAATGCTAGGTTCGAACCAAAATAAGTTGTTTAATAAATACGTATTAGTCAGCACACTTTACCGAAAAACAGAGTACAATCTTCACGTGACGTATAATCTATCTTGTCATTGGTTAACAACAGTCAACCCAAGTAATTATAATCCTAATCATATCTGGGATCGTTTATATAGTTAGTTTGTTTGTTGTTAAGCTAAAAGCCACTCAATGGGCTATCAGTGCTCTGCTCATAAAGGCTATTGAAGTCCTATTTTTAGCATTATAAGCCCCTCAGACTTTCCGCTGAGCCACCAGGGGTCGGATCGTTTGGTAACTTTCATAAATGGAACCTACATCTTGGTTAGGACATAGTGGCTAAGTAGAGCATCACGATTTAGCTATAGCCTTAATAAAATGCTTTTCATACAAGCCGCAGTACGCCTGGCTTCAAGTTAGATCAATTTTAGGTTTCTAAAATAGAAACTCGCAAGAAAAAACGAACAAAAAACCTAACGTGTATAAGATCTTTCTGTGTGAAATTTTTTAATAGAAAATACAAGTTCACCTTTTTCTTGGTATAATATTTGAAATAAGAAAAAAAAGCTTTCCCAGCACTTTCGTTAAAATCAGTTTATAGCAAAATCATCAATATAATCTCCAATGCATTTTAAAATTATATTACCCAATTTTTCAGAGGAGTAAGATAAGCGTGTGTGAAATTTAGAGTAAAATGAGCGATTACATCCTTAGAAACATCGGTAAGGTTCTGAGGCATCCTTCGTGTCTAGAATCACTTGAAAAGATGCAAAAATAGCATTACGTTACATAACGACTATGGATTCGAGGTCCCATGATTTGAGCCCCGTTACCGTCGGAAAAACATTTCTCTGGACTTTAGGAGTTGTGATTATATTATAACAATGATGGTCAAATCCTACCATTCGATTATAGTAGCGCACGAGTTGGCGGTGAGTGCTTTCTTCTCTCTAACCTATCTCTTCAAAATTATGGACAGCTAGCACGGATAGCTTTGCACAAAATTTCGCAAAAACAACAATAACATGTTGTTGGTCCTCTGCACGTGTTCCTGCCATTGTTAAAGACTAGATGTTTGGTGCCTTGCTGTGAAGGCATTTTACTGAGTGTCTGGCATACATGCTACTCTTGTTTTTAACTTTATATACACTAGCATTTTGCGGCTGCGAACATCTGTTTCTGTTTCAAAGCAGATATATTTAGGATTGCGAATATTGGTTGTCTGCTTATGTTGTGAACTATGATCTTTCTGGTCCAGATGTCCTTAAAACCTATACGATGCTTTGGAAGAGGCTCTATATTCTGCTAACGACACTTGTAGCCAATTCAGAACAGTCGCTGTGACTGGCCGAATTCCATTTGTTCGATGACCCTTCTTATGAATTAAATATCCAGCTATTTTCTTTGAGGTATGGCCCCGAGATCTTGAAATTCTATAATTCATTTCAGAGTGAGAATTTAAACAAGAGTGGCAAAACCACTATACATGACATAGGCTAAGTGACCAATACGGGGTCAAAATGTCCACGTAAACCAGTGGAAAGCTGTCATGAGTTTTTAAAAAATAATTATAAAAAACACAAAAAAACTAGTACTTACCGTTGAGCAAGGATTCGGGTTGCTTCTTCTAGGACCAGAGCGGCCGAAGCAATATGTTTAGGTTTTGGTAGGTCAGAGGACAGCTCGTGAATCTCTCGATGTGGATGACCTAAGAAGACTCATAAACTTAAATCATATACTCTTTATTTTTATCCGGCGTTACGTACTTTATTACTGTTTTTGTGCTGTTATGTGCCTGTTTCTGTGATAAAAAAAATGTGCTATGCATTACTTTTTGTTTGTTTTATTAAGTAAGTTGTGGGGAAGTGTTATAAAATCGTTTAGGGTAAGCTTCAAATATTTATTAAATAATTATATCGTTCTAACAATACATCTTATTTGTATATTAAACGTTTTACTATCTTGCCATAAACCTATACTTACTCAATTCTTAAAGATAAACTAATATCCACATCGTCCAAAATAAACAAAGTAAACAAGCCGACATACCCGTAATAAATCACAGAAGAATAAAACTTACCCGTAATGAAACTTAGTTTAACTTGCCAATGGTAGAACAAATAATAAAACTTACTCATAATTAAGAATAACACAACCAGATCATGACATAACTTAGTTAATCCTAACCATGGTAAACCACAGATTAAAAATAACCCTTAATGAAGAACAAAATAACTGATTGAAAATACAACATAACTCAACTTACCCGTGACAAAATATACAGCAAAAAGACTATCAGTAACGAAAAAAAAAAACACAAAAAACATTGTTTCATCATTTCATAATACCTACAAATTCAACTTACCCACGTGTCTGCGTGCCTCGTGGATAGCATTGTTGATGTCGTCATAAGTAATACAGAGTTCTCCTCCGACACCTGGTGCTCGTAACTTTAAACTGTGGCAACAGAGAAATATATCAATATTATTTTATGAATATTCTTACGACTTATTTGGATTTATCTGTTTATTTCTCTTTCTTCTTACATTTTGACCATAACTGAAATAATCTGGTTTGAGAGTCTGAAAGCTCGATCTTCAGATGAGAGTGTAATCATTATCTTCTTTGCCAAAAGATTTATTGATAAGCCATAATAAATGAGGTAATATAAATGAGAAAAAATAAGTTATTTTAGTATATATATATATATTACATATATAGGTATTTGTAATTACATATAATTTCCATTTCAGATTATTTGATAAAACTCTAACAATAGTTGATTACTGAGATTTTCATTTGTTATCATCCAGACTAATCTGAATTCTTTTTGCATACTCTATTGTTAAGACAAACTCATAGCATTGTTGTTCTAATACGACTATGAGTCTGTGGGGAAGAAAGCTATTTATATAAGTAATCTAGATGAAGGTGACTTGTTGGTTGATAACGACAGTCTTTTATAAGACGCGGTTTCAAGAAATAACAGCCTTAAAACGTAATTAGTAGTTAGTCAGCTAAGTTTATATGTTATTTTTGTTACTGCTATGTTACTAGGAGTATTTGATTGGCCTGTTTAGAATGCATGCCGCTTAGACAAAACGTGAACTCATTTTTACTCCAGATAACAGAGTGCCTTCTAACTGTACTTGTTTTTATTCACCTAACTTATATTCTCTTTAAAAACGATAACCCATAGAAGCTTGAATGCAACGTGAAAATATTACCAAGATTCAAGTACAGTTGATTTGGTCAAATAAATACAAATCGTCCTAATTTTTGTATCCAGATTTTTCTTAACGTAAAAACATTCTCAGTTGAAGGTTTAAAAACCCGTGAGTTGTCTCTAAAGGTGATACACGGTAAAATAATTGTGTTAAAAACAACACGATTTGTGTTCTGAACACATGTCTGATGCTTGAAAGATTACGACACAAATTTGAGTTAAAAACAACACGATTATTGAGGACTAACAAAACAAAACACTAATGTGTTGGCTGATGCACAATATCTCAAATTTTAGACAATCTACAAACATATAATAATAATAATATTAGTAAATTAAGGCTATGAAATGAAAAGCCAAACATCGTATAAGGCCAGTGTTTTAAGAATTACCTCAGATTAATTTAAGTAAGATTCGTTTTCACCATATGCTACTCCTGACCGGTTCAAACCGGAAATCGTCGTAAAAATGTAGCTTCACAACACAATAATGCGTTTAAATAAACATAATTTTATAAAAACTTGTGTGGGTGTATACTGCCACAACAGCCAACACAATTTGTCTTGGGTGATGTTTGTGTTAATTTACAACACAACTGCTTTTCTACTGTGTAAGGTATATATATCTCACGAGAGGCGGGTGAGTTAAAAATAAACGTGAGACTGAGTATTACTTCGTAAGACGTTTCTTTCCAATTTGATTTGAGACAACCTGTGAATTGTAGGATGGTCGCGTGTTGATGAAAGCCATACAGAGAAGTTTGTATAATGTGAGACTTCAGTTCGTATATCACTGTGGACAACGAGCATAACAACAAGTTGTTATACTTGATAAGGCAGTAAAGGGTATTGGCACGTGAGTGGGGAGTTGTGGTATATCGTGTGTTTATGTCCACCACGCAGTGAGTGCGATACACGCATGAACAGAGATCGTGTGTTATAGAGAGTAAGCCAGTTACTGGATATTGTGTCAGGTGGCGTAAGAACACCTGGTGATATATTACGTGGTGTGGTACACATATATGGCCATAGATGGCGTGTTAAATAATAGTAAGATTTCTAATCGGCTGTGAAAAACCTATAACTAGGTTTGATTCGAAAAACTTAAAATAATTAACAAAGAGAAACGTTTTACTACTCTTTCTTAATTCCCTAGTGGTGAAATCGACTTCTGTAATATTGATTAGCGGATCTAGATCGTTGATTTCTAAATTTGAGTTGTTACATTAAAAATATATATATATATTTATTGACGTAAGATAAAAAAAAACTTTCTCCTCGTAGAATGTCGACAACTATATAATGGAATGTTTAAAATCTCCCTAGTGGCTCACCGGGAAGTCTTTGAATAGAAATAAACAATTACACATTAAAATTAACAATTAGTGAACAACAGGTTCTCCTAACTAAAAGATTTTTTTTTTTTTTTCAGAGTAAAATAAAAGCTATTTTATCTTGTTTTGTTTGTAATTAAACAC